ATTCACACCAGAAGAGAACTGAAGCGAACCGCACCAGAGTTTGTGTGGAAGCGGACCGAGACCACCTCAAAAAGCAGGTCTGTTAGATCCGCACCAGAGTTCACATGAGTGAACACCTGCACAAAAGGTCCGGACCAACGCTGGAAACGAACTCTGGTTCGTTTAAAGCGGAGAAAATGATCAGGTCTGAATATGACCTAAGATTTGGATTAGTCTTTTCTTTTGTATTGTGCCCTAAAAGGACTTTGTTGTAAACTGGAGCTACATAAATAAGCTGAATGGGTTTGAATTGGAAAAAATGTGTTTGTTTTTAGTTCTTAACTGAATGAAACTGTTCTACAAAGCTGAATACATTTTGGCTTTCCTCTTAATGCGGGGGGATAAAACCCCCTCATCTCATCCATGCTAACAAGCCTGGCTCACTGTCGAGAGAAATTAACCTCAGAATCTCCAAACAGAGAGAAGCCATCTCTGATCCAAATGGTTTCTCAGTTTGCTCTACAAACAGAGCGTCTTGGGACTGTGCTCTCCGCAAAAACAGGAAATGGTCTATTTTCTTTTTAGCTGAGTACCCCGAGGGCACACATATTCCTACGGGTGGGAAGGAAAAGGGATTTCTGGTTACTTCGGTCACAGATTCCTGCGACAGAGTAACTGTAATATGTACTGGAAAGAGATCCCCCTGAGGGGCGTCGCTTGGGGTGGGGTGATGGCAGTGGGGGCAAAACAGGAAAAGACCAAAGTCGAAGCGTTCACGCTTGAACCGGGCTTTCAATCACAATGGAGACAGGAGCAGTTACCGAAACGAAACGAGACCACTGAGGCATTCAAGAGGAAGTGAAAACAAACGACTGGCCGTTAAAATAAAACACAGCTTTAGATAATCACTCATTTCTATTATTCGCACACATCCTGACCTTGGTGGTCTAAGAGGGCTGATCTCTGAGWCGTCTACAAGACTGATTGCATGTTTGACACTTTTAGATTTTGCATAAAATCACGACTAATGGGTCGCTGATCTGACACCAAGTGTCACATTTTGTGAAGCGAAGCCGGACGCTGTGCTTCGAATTGATAACTGCATTCCTTACAGTTCATGTGAGCGTTTTTCTTTTTCACATAGTATTTCAGAGAAAAGTTTTTAAAACTTAATTTCTTCGATCTTCTCTTCATTTCTTAAAACAAAATCAGTGTCTGTAAACTCTCCAAAAMTATCCCATTTGAAGCAGGTACCGACCACAAGAACATGATGAAAACAAAGAATAAGAGAGGAAAACAAGTGTTTTAGACTGAGCTTGAACAGTTTAAAAATTATACCTGGAGAAGGTAAATAAGAAATTACAGGAATTTCACGTTTATGTTTGTTAAAGTTGCATAACYGTGGCAGCCATCTTGAAAACGGGTCCAACTTTTTTTTTTATCCAGCTAAAGAGTAAAACGGGAAAAAACATTTTCTAGGTAATAAAGTTCAACCATTTTCTCAGAAAATGGGAGTTAGTATTTTCCTAAAACTCCTCTTCCTCCTACCTCCCGTGTGAAAACAGACTCTGGTCTGTTCTCTCTCCTCCATCCAAACTCCTCCTCCCACAGMGAAGCATACAAATATTTATTCACATAATTACTAACCGACGTTCCACATCAATTAATAATTCACCCGAGGCTTAAATTACCAGCTGGGTTAAAGTCGCGCAACTTAAAAAAAAAAAAAAAGGGAAATATTTGGGAAAAAAATCAGTGGGAGTTTTGATGATTCGTGGTGGGATTGCTGTGTTTATAAAATTGTCTGGCAGT